ATACGAAACAGAAATAACATTTACAAATACACGTTCTTTTAATTTTTTATTATTTCATTTGGAAATATAATTGATATAATAATAATAATAATATATTATATTATATTATATTATATTATATTATATTATATTATATTATATTATATTATATTATATTATATTATATTATATTATAATTAATTAATTTATAATCTACAAATAGAAGAAAATGAAAAAGATTGAAAGTGAACAAGTTATGACTTTTTCAAACCATTCAGTTATTCAGTGGCCACCTAGTATTTGAAATAATGAATCATTCCTTCTGTCAATTTGTTACTTCCGTTTGGATGATAGCTTGATCCCGGGTTATCAAGTCAGATAAATCATTTGCAAATAATCTATTACATTATTTGTGTTAACAGTTAATCCACTGGAATGAAACAAATAATCTTGGTAGGAAATTATTAAAGATCATTGTTGAATTGTTAACACCAATGTGATAAGCGTTAATATGTTAAAAAATAATAAGTATATTAAATAAAATATAAAGTGTATATGAGAATTACTAACTATGACAAGATGAATATTAATATATTAAAAAAGTGAAATTATTGTGCACGAATCATAGTTGAATTAATAATACAATTCTTCTTCTTTTCAGAAATGCGATGTTAGAAGAATTTATGAAATAATTCATGAAATATTAATTATCGTTTACGTGATAGAATTATTTACAGAACGAAGAATTATTATAAAATTATTTACAGAACGAAATTAAAGTTAGAAAAATAAAGTTAAATGAAACATCGAGTCAAATGTTAATAGAAATAATCGATAATAGAAATAAAACATCGAGTCGAATAATAATAGAAATAATAAATAATTGAAGTATAATAAGAATAGAAATAATAATTGAAATATAATAATAATAGAAATAATTGAAAATGATTGAAATATAATAATAATAGAAATAATAAATAATTGAGATATAACAATAATAGAAATAATAAATAATTGAGATACAATAATAATAGAAATAGAAAATTGAATTAAATAAAACATGGAGTTAAATAATATTAATTAAAAATAAAATAATGATAGAAATAATCATTTCTCAAATATTTTATTCAATAACGAGAGAAAAAGAGAAAGAGAGAGAGAGATTTATTGTGTGTATATGATTATGTGTACATCATTGCCATGTATAGTTGTCATAAATCGACCAGAGTGTCTAACTTACAAATCGAGAGTATATCACGTTATCTATTCATAATACGTTAAAACGAGAAAGCCAGAATAACACCAAAGCTAATATACCTTGTCTATGGACTTTGAGAATTGAACGAATACAAAGTCTAAGTCTGTGCACCCTTCAGCATCACAGTTATAGTCATCTTGTTCGTCGTGGTTCATTGTTCACTAGTCTCCAAAACGGTGCAGTCGAGTATCGACATTGTCAACAAGGGAATTCTGATTCGAAAAACAGGTCAGTGAAAATGATAATGGTTGTTGAACAATAACGAAACTCGATTCAATAACGAAGATGCAAGTTATCAGCAATGTTTGCAAGCATTTATCATTTTAACGCAACTTCGAAATAGTTGATTTTACAGAATGTAATGTATAAATGGAAGAAAATGGGCGAATCGACGTGGAAAATGAAGGAAATGTAAAGGACATTACTTTTCGTAGTCATTTATAGTTGGTAACAATAATTACACGTTCTGTTACAGAATTTTTCTTCTTGGAAAAAGAATTATCGATTAACTGTGGAATTCAAACCTGACTGTTAATATTTTATGAGTTATTTTGAACTTTTCTATTGATATACTTCTGAAAAGAAATTAATTCGACTATGATTGTGATACGTAATAATTTTACTTTCTCAATGTGTTAATATTTATTTTACAGTAGTCAATAATTTTTATATATATTTTTTAATATATCAACATTTGTTATACTGCAGTTAATAATTCAACGGTGAGTTTTATCTAACTATACGCGATTTTATTGAATTTTATCGAGTTTTATTGAATCAATTATTTTTTCAATGTATCTTTCAGTTATTTCTTAATATATATATTTTTTTTTATACCACAAGTAACAATTTAATCACGATTTTTATACATGCATTTGGTTTCACTGAATCAGTTATTTGTTTAATGCATAAACACTTATTATATCATAGGCAATAATTCAAATATGAATATTCATATTCGTTTATAATAATTATTATTGAACTAATTAATCGTATTACAAGTAATAAATTTCATTTATTTAAATGCACGTTTGCGTTGCTCAAGAGTAATCATTAAACGAAGTTAAAATGAATCAATAACTACGATTTATTTTCAATAATGCAAATTGCAATATTTCCTCAGGTTTTCAAGTGTATCGGGCAAAGTAAATAATAAATTTATTACTTCTCGATCATTTCTATCCAGTGATATACCGACGAGTTCCAAAGAGAGAGCGACGGATTGTTGTATACGGTCACTCGTTATGGTCCGCAATCGGTTGCCAGCGCAAGCGGTTAACCGTAACCTTTGCTCTGCGATTTTCTTTTCAGTTTCCAGGAGTGAGCATTGCTCATTGCAAAACGTATTGAAAACACTATACCGTGTCATAATTTTTAATTATTTGATCATTTAATTTTACACTGTGCATAATTTTTTTATTTATCAACGTTCAGTTCAATTGAATTCAAAGTCTGGCTTGAAATTCCGTAGGTTTGCAAAATTTAATATTTAATCAATACTTCTTCGCCAATTATAAATTGTGGGGGAGGGGAGGGGGAAGAGAAAAGAAACACAATGATAGAAAGAACGAGATAGAAGGAAATAGAGATCGGAGCGAGCGATGGAGTCCGTGTAGGCGGCGAACCAGCGTAATTGGAAGGAGGCAACCCTAAATTACCGAGGCACAGATTAAACCCCCGGCCGGTGTTAATGAACCCGCCGATGACGACACCGTAACGATCGCCGACGTCTATATCGGCACATCGACCCAGATTCATTCACCGTTTGAACTTGACCTTCTCGTTTGTTGCTCCCGCACGTCACGCCGTTGCTATAAATAAGATATCAAAGGCAGCGACAACTGTATGTTACAGAAATAGCGAACGAAAAGAAAAGGAAAGTGAGACAAATTACAGTGGATAAAAAAAATATATATATATGTATATTCTTTAATTGCAAATAACCATTACATTTTTTAATTCTAAAGCCAAACCGTTGAATGAAATTTCGTACCACGGCAGCATTAAGAAAAAAAGGTTCTCCCGTTTTCGAAATTTTGGAAAAATTTCGTCGATTCGTAAGAGATTTTTATCGAAAAATACACTACGCGCGTACAACTTAATCCAACAGATAGTTGGTTATTTATTTTTCAAGTGATCGCACGATACGATCGGAATGCGATATCAGTCGATCAAAATGTCAGTGAAAATCGTGGCTAGTATCGAGCGAAAGTTGGTCGAAAAAAAAAAAAAAATAGAAGTGGAATGTTCGTTTTTTTTTTTTTTTCTTCATCTCTGTACGTGATATTTACGAATTTTGCAAAACGTTAATCTTCTGACTTTCTAATCTTCAGTCAATTTTTACTCACTTTCGATTTATTTTATTTTATCAAGTTTTATATTGTCATATTCAGTAATTTATTTTTCATATTAAGTAAGTTATTAAATTGATTTAATTGAATCCATTGCTTTGAAAATTTTTATTGTATTCGATCTTTTCATGAAAGCTGGAAACTTTTGATAAAGAACACTGTAAATTTTTTATTTTATTAATTTAGTTTGCATTATTACTAACTTATCATGAATTTATATTATTATTATTATTAATTTTTATTTATATTATTATTAATTTTTTTTTTTTATTGATCAATTTATAGTATTCTATTATTAATTTATATTATTATTTTATATATTTATGTACGTCTTGCAAATATTTTGGCAATTACAAAATTTAGTACATTTATGTACTAAATATGTACAATTGTATTTCTATTTTTTTTACATAGTTTCATTTACAACATACTTCCCCTGGCCTCTAAAATTGTAAAATTCAATACTTCTCTTACTAATGTAATTACATTTCTATTTAATTTTTATTTAACTTTATTTATATTGTTTCACTTGCATATTTTTCACATCTTAAATTGTAAAACGTAATAATGTAATAATATAATAATTAAAATAATTATAATAATAAAACATAATAATAAGATTAATAATAATAAATATAATAATAAAACATAATAGTGTAATAATATAATAGCAATAATGTAATAATATAATAGCATATAATAGTATAATTACATTTTTATTTAATGTTTATATTTTATTTACATACTTTGCACGTTCTTAAAATTTTTAATATGTCACTTATTTCAATATTAATAATATAATAGTATTAATAGCATATAATATTAATAGCATACAATAATATAATAGCACGTAATATTAATAGCATAGTAGCATATAACATTAATAGGATATAATAGTACAATAGCATATATCTAGTACAATTACATTTTTATTTAATATTTATACTTCATTTACATACTTCGCACGTTCTTAAAATTTTTAACATGCTGCTCGTTTTAATATTTTAATCTTCATTAATATTTCAATCTTCACCCAATCTCCGCGAAAGTTTCATCAAGTTATCAACTATTATTAAAAAAACGAAAGAGACAACTTGAGTAACTGACTAACAAGAAGAAAAGCACGTGGAGCCTTGAATGGAATTTTTAATCCATTTGAAAAAAGAAGATCCCTTTTTTGTACATCACCTTCTATTTATTTGCAAACCAATATTAAAACTCACAGGAAATTAGTTTTGTCCCCTGTGATTCTCCGCGCATTGTTCAACCTCGGCATTTCTATTCTCCTTTCGAAACGTCTCATTGGTTTGTGGTAAACACGTAAAAATAAATCTAAACACGACGAACCGTGTAAAGGTTTACGAGGCTTGTAAAGTCTAATAAAAAAAACCTTGCCTTCACTTCTGTTTCAGATACAGTCGAGATTCGCGACACAATGACGTTTATGAGCATACTGGTGTCCCTATTGTTCGTCGCTATGACTAAAAGTCAACCTGTATCCTACGCGTACGACGAAAGAGAATTGCCGTGGGATCATCCGTCTCTTTTGTTCCTCGTTGAGAGCCGAATTCCAGATTTAGAGGTATGACACTCCTCCATAAATTTAATGGAATTCAAACATGTGAGAGAAAACTAAAAAAAAATGTTTTTCACAACTATTATAAATCCACTGTGATGGTAGAAGATTGACATTTCCTTTTTATACTGCTGTACCATTTCTTTTTTTTTTTTTTTTTTTTTGCCACCATTGAACTTTGAATATCAGGGAATCTCGACAAATTGTCATTCGTTCGATTCAAAGTTCAGTCAATTCGGAATGTTCAAAGTTCGATGAAACGATGGAGAAACGTCGTCGCACGTTCGTTGCAGAAATGTTTTCAACGTTTCCCACACATGTTTGAACTTTTACAATTCTCGAGAAGAAGAAACCTGCTACACGATGGAAAGAAAAAAAAAAAAAACGAAAAAGAAATTGTCAAAACTTCACATTTTAAAATGAGATCAAATAGATCGTTGCGCGACTTTTTCTTTTTGCAAAGTTTAAATTATACCGACGATTCCTTCGGGAACGCGATTGAATTCAGTGAATAGATCGTTGTGTCTTTCACCTGGAAGTCGTACGAAGAAAATCAAACTCATTTTATGGGCCGCCAATAAACCGATTATTGGAAAATTCTCTGTTTCGAAGGATAACGTCGTTATCGTGCAACCAGAGAATGGAATATAAAAAGAATGGCTCGCTCGTTAAATCATCGCCGAGTGGCCTGTAATAATTGGAAATGTAATTGGAGATTCGTTTGGCTACGGTTCCTTGCGTAATGATCAAACACGATGTGCTAACGTTAACGTGGTATGCATTATTATTTAAATGCGTTCCGGTTGCACGTTAATTTTTGCATTCTGAATGTCGAGTAAATATATTAATGAATATTTGAATAAAATATTAGATCTCATACTATCCACACATGTCAACATATTAATATCAATTCATATCAACATATTTATCAACATCAATTTATATATATATTTCTTTTGGTTTTAATTTGTTTCATAAAGATAGTTAAAATATATATACATATATTTCTTTTGATTTTAATTTGTTTCATAAAGATAGTTAAAATATATATACATATATTTCTTTTGATTTTTGTTTCATAAATATAATATACTTAAAATATATATATATATATAATATATATTTCTTTTGATTTTAATTTGTTTCATAGATATAGTGTTTAAAAAAAATATATATATATATTTCTTTTGATTTTAATTTATTTCATAAAGATAGGTAAAATATATATACATATATTTCTTTTGATTTTAATTTGTTTCATAAATATAGTGCTTAAAATATATATATATATATATATATATATATATATTTCTTTTGATTTTAATTTGTTTCATAGATATAGTGTTTAAAAAAAAAATATATATATATATATATATATATTTCTTTTGATTTTAATTTATTTCATAAAGATAGTTAAAATATATATACATATATTTCTTTTGATTTTAATTTGTTTCATAAATATAGTATACTTAAAATATATATATATATAATATATATATATTTCTTTTGATTTTAATTTGTTTCATAAATATAGTGCTTAAAATATGTATATATATATATATATATTTCTTTTGATTTTATTTTATTTCATAAATATAGTGCTTAAAATATATATATATTTTTACAGTGCTCAAAAATATACATATATTTATATATACAGGGTGTTTCATATAAACATACCCAATTTTCTCTTCAACTGTTGCCTACAGAGAAAAATGTTTCAAATAAAACTTGTTATTTCGAGGGAGGCATTTTACGGTGGCCTCGAATCTTGTTTAGATGATCATGCTTTCGAGATTTCAAGGTAAGTTTTATTTGAAACATTTTTCTCTATATAATGAATAGTTCAGCCACTTGCGCTGGCAACTGATTGCGGACCATAACGAGTGACCGAATACGACAATTCGTCGCTTTCTTTTTGAACTCGTCGGCACGATATCACTGGATAGAAATTATTGAGAAGTAATAAATTTATTAATTTGTTTTGCCTATTTTGTTTTACTCAAATATACTTAAAACTGAGAGAATATTGCAATTTTGGGACAAAAAATTCTCGACGTGCGTGGCACGTCACTCCACCGCAAGAGGTTAAAAGAAAATTACATGATTCGCTTCGTATGAAACATATATATATATATACCTATATCTACCATATCTACCATATGTATATATATATATATATATATTTTTTTTTTTTATTTTCACCATATCTATGAAACGAATTAAAATTAATTTCTCGAAGCTTTCGTTACGATAATCGCTTCGAGACCAAAATTTCCCAAGGCGTTGTATACTCGTGGATGAACATAATACGTGGCGGCATAAATATTTATACGTAAAATTTCCAAGCCACTATGGTAATCGCAACGTGAGAAATTGAGGATGGCACGCGTGCGCTATCTCCTCCGCGTGGGAGTGCAACGCGATTCAAACTACGTATGAATGGAACGTCTTCCCTCCCTCTACGTTCCGCGTGTGTTTAATTAAAACTCGCCTCATTGTCAGAGCCGACGATTGTTACCAGCAAGACGGGAATACACACTCTCTCGCGCGAAACGCTCTTAATTAACTTCCACATTGTGCGAGTGATAGGATTCATGCCGGACGAGCTAAGAATGTTTAGATGTACGAGATGATGAATAAGCATTATATACGGTCGAAGAGAGGGGAGAAAATCGTCGAATTTATATAAATTTCAACTTGAGCACGAGGATGTATTCGATACGACAATTTTTCATTGAGCGTTAAAATATACATTTTTATAAATAAATTGTAATATGAATTATAATTGAATTAATTAAGCAAGTGTATAATATAATTCATTAAATTGTAGATTTAAATTTTTAATTTAAATCTGATTTAATTTACATTTATGACATATGTATTATATATATATTAAATATAATATGTATATATATATATATATATGTGTTTATATAAGTATTAATTTGGATCACTAATATTAATTGTATATTACTTCTATGTTATAAATTATTTCAATTTATTTAATATTTTTACATTAATACATGACTGATGTATTAATTAAATGTATATAATTATAAATACAATAGTCTATAATTATAAATAAATTACAATTATTATTATCTGAATTTCGCCATAAGTGTGAGGAAGAGTTAAAACGTAAGTCTCATTCGCAGAGAACTTTCCTTCCTGGAACTGTTAGAATTTTGATGAAAAAAGAAAAATCATACATATAAAAATAAGCTTGAATTTACTTTGAAGCTTGAAGCTACTACTTTCGAAATATTCGTAACAAATGGCAAAGTGAAGTGTTTGTAGTATTTTCTTCCTCTCGAAGATGCTACTAAATTGTCGTAATACGCGAAAATATTGAAACAAATTTCATTCTCGATTGAATCCGCGATTCAAATTTGAAAATTGGAGCCAGGAAATTGAAACCGAATGTATTATAACTCTAACGTAACAATTCAAAGCTCGATAAAAAAAAAAAATCGTGCATCAAGTTTCAGCACGGAATCCAACAAACATTTAGCTGTATCTTTAATATTCGAACACTCTGTATATTTAACAAACTTTCCCTTTCGTCAACTCCGCGAAGATGCTTGTGAATTATGAACGAAAAATTCGCAAATATTTCCAGGTATTGCTATACCTACGCGCGCGTAAGTATAGTATCACGGTTCTTCTTTTCTTCTTTTATATCCTTGAACGGGTGTTCCGTAAAAGTGGCAATAAAAGCAGAGGAATATTCAGAAAACTGCGGCTTGCACATATGAGCAAGCGTTCCGCTTCTTCCTCTTCCTTTCCTTTTATTTTCTTTTCTTCTTTTTACATACACGCGCAATACACGAACGCTCCAACTGTAATTCGTAATGATCGTTTTTCGTGGAGACGCGATATTGCCAGTAGAATGATCAAATTTGATCTTTTGTTCAAGCTCCGCTCAGATTGTTTCGTCTTCTCCGTCGTGAATTTTAATGTTCATAAATATACATTCTGTTATTCTGGCGATAACGAAGTTTCAAACTCCTCGTCCTTATCGTGCAAATTCTCGAACGAAGATATTTTAGTGAAGTTGTTAAGTTGCCAAGTTTGGTACAAACACGCATTGCCCTTTAACCACCTGCGCTGGCAACTGATTGCGGACCATAACGAGTGACCGAACCGTATACAACAATTTGTCGGTTTCTTCTCGAACTGGACAGAAATTATTAGAGAAGTGATAAATGTATTATTTTGTTTTACTCAAATATACTTAAAACTGAGAGAATATTGCAATTTTGGAACAAAAAATTCTTTCCAGCGCAAGAGGTTAAGCAGAGAATCGTAGTAATGATTTAATTAGACTAGGAAGAGAATCAAACGCGAAGTAGTGCAATAAATAACTAAATGAATTAACAAAGCAAAGTATTTAATACGTGTGCTCGGAATTCACGAAAATATGCAATTTATGGGAATACTTGAGACAGCTACAAATGAGTAAATTGAACGATCAGAATTATAACGATAATAAAAAGAACATATTGTCGTTGGACAAACGAAATTTTAAATATTAATGAGAATTATGATAATGATATGACAATAAAATTGATCTAATTTTGGAATTTTTTAATCGAGTGCATTATTTTGTAAATAAGTCATATAAAACTGACATCTTCCATAAATTATACTTCAAGCTTCGCTTCAAAATCCTGTTTTTTTATTTCAAAATGAAGTTGGACTAGTCACTGAAGTCTGATCCTCGTTTCGAAATTTTTCATCGCCGTTGAAGTCAAATTTTCATTCCGAAATTATTAGACCTTTCTTCATCAAGAAATTTCATCACACCGCGGAGTTTTCTACGTGGTGGTAGGTTTTTCATATAATATCACGCTGTAAATAATCTTCTGTTATCCAAATTCGTATTTTTTCAAAAAAAAAAAAAAAAAAAGCATCTAAAAGTGAAAATGATTTTCACTTTAGTTCCATCTCGAAGATGTTGTACGCTTTTTCCCGCTAAAGTGAAAATTAAGTGCTCATAAAAGCTGACGCGAAGATCGTATAAATGTATTTCCCTCCCTTTCCTTTTTTTTTTTTTTTTTTTTTTTATAGGTTGAAGCTGATCCATTATTCGAATAAACAATTTCGCAAGTGATTTTGAAAATTACAACTATATCTCGCGAAATATCAGTGAGATGGAATTATTAAAATTAAATGAAAGTATCAATTATTTTTGGCAAATCCCCCTTTTCGATTAAATCTCCGAAAATTCGCGTTTTCATATGTTTCAAAATAATCTGGCCTGTTCAATATGTTTGAAAAACATTTAAAATTAATGATTTTATAGGGCCAATGTTATACTGTATGATACTATTTGTAGATGTTTTATTTGTTATTAAATAATACTATTATTAATAATTACTAATTATTGGTATTAAATAACAATACTTTGAATTTTTATTAATGAATTATCTAGGGAGGTTATTTTTATAGTAAATTAATTGTACATTATAAAATTACATCATTTATGTTTCTTAGTAATAATTTTTCTATAATTTTCTTATATGGAATTAGATATATAAATTAAGATAATTATTTATTGAAATGATTTATTATCAATAATTGTATCAATTTCAAGAAAAAAAGGGTTAATTTCTTATTACTCAATTTATTATCAAAAATTATTGAAAATATTCAACTTAGTGTTTATGTATATTATAGATTTATAGATCCATAGATTTTATAGATTTATAATTATTACAAATTTATAATAATTACAATTGTAACATTATTTTCATGAATTTTAAGACTAAGCATACTAGCGGTTATACCTATTATACAGAATTTTATATATTAATTTATATATTAATTTATTATAATTTTAATTTGTTTATAATATAATTCATTTATTTAATTTTATATATTAATTTATTTTTATATTTAATATAAAATTTGATTGGGAGAGTTATTAAATTTGATAAATTTTAATTTTCAATAGCTTTAATTTGAGAAAATAATTTGATCTTCAATTTAAAATTAATAGAACAAATTATCTCAGCGTTATATTTTTTTTATAGATCTTGTAGAAAAAAAAATGATTGCGAAACCTGGATGTTGAACTGAGATAAATTTTAAATGTAGAAGTTTGACAATTAAGTCTGTTCGACTTTTAAAATCTAAAACGAAAAGTTATACTGTTGCAGGGATGAGATAGTTAAAGATTAATTTCTATTATTCACTTATTTCTATTATTCAATTAGATAATAATATGATAATAGAGATTATTATCATATTATAGAGATTAACTTTTATTATTCAATTATTTCTTTTATTCAATTAGACAATAATATGATAACAGAGATTATTATCATATTATAGAGATTAATTTTTATTACTCAATTATTTCTATTATTCAATTAGACAATAATATGATAACAGAGATTATTACCATATTATAGAGATTAATTTTTATTATTCAATTATTTCTATTATTCAATTGGGTAATAATATGATAACAGAGATTATTACCATATTATAGAGATTAATTTTTATTATTCAATTATTTCTATCATTCAATTAGACAATAATATGATAACAGAGATTATTATCATATTATAGAGATTAATTTTTATTATTCAATTATTTCTTTTATTCAATTAGATAATAATATGATAATAGAGATTATTATCATATAATAGAAATTATTATCATATAATAGAGATTAATTTTTATTATTCAATTATTCCTATTCAATTAGATAATAATATGATAATAGAGATTATTCAATTAGATAATAATATGATAACAGAGATTATTATCATATTATAGAGATCAATTTCTATTGTTCAATTATATTTATTATCAAATTCATCAACAACGTTCGACATTGTCACGAAGGCTTGACAAACACAATGACAATCCTGACAGTGACCGCGATGAATTTCAGAATGAAATGTTCGACTCGGGTAACGATCCTGGATCAACGGTGGTCCGGACGAAACGGCTGGAATCGAAACGGATTGGATCGCTCTCGATCGTGAACTCGCTGGACGTGCTGCGGCAGAGAGTCCTCCTCGAGCTGGCGCGGCGCAAAGCGTTGCAGGATCAACGGCAGATCGACGCGAATCGACGTCTTCTGGAGAGCATCGGTAAGAGATCGTTCCCGCTTTACAACGTTGGCGACGCGTCGAAGGCTGCCGACTCGAGGACGAAGAACGGGATCGAGTACGTGATGGAGCAAAAGGAGAAGAGTCACGATCGGAGCGCGGCGTCTGACAGAGTAGGGAACTGGCTACGAAACCGGGACGATTCTGCTTTTCGAGAGAGACAAGACGATCCGGTGCGAAGGGTAATTATCATTATGTCTCTCCTCGTGAGTTTCGTTCTTCAATTTGCCATTGTCGCTTCCACGGTGTGGAATGTATCATAGCATTCCTTTTTTTTTTTCTCTCTCTTATTTTTAGCTTGTTGCTGTTGATTTTCACTCGGTGACAAAGAAGAAGTAATAGCAACTTGCTGTTGTTGTTGATTCAATTTGATTCAATTGTCGTTGATTTCTTTGAATTGTTGCTGATTTCACGACAGATTGACTTTTGATAATTGAGAAGAGGACAGTTTGTTAGCATATATCATTGTATTTTGTATGATTTCGAACTACAGTGCCGAATACTTTTCGTATTCGATCAATAAATGTGAACCGAAATCTCTCTTTGTTTCCAGGTTCAGACGAACGAGCTGCGTTTACTGTAATCAACACGGAGAACGATCAAGTTACAATCAACTTTCGCTTTATTACGGTTTTTTATCTAACGAGCTAATGAATTGCGTATAGTTTACTTATTATTCGTCGTATTTCCTCAGGTTTTATTATGTACATACACAATACATACGCGTTGCACACACACACACGCACACACACACATATATTTTTAATATCGCGTTTCATTCACGAATTATAGATTATTAATACGTCGAGCGTCAGATAATTTGCGAATGAGATTGCAAGTTAGTAAGCAAAAAGGTCTAACAGAACGCGTCAGTATTTCCTCCTCCCCGCCCCCCCTTGATTTAACTTTTAATTTTGAGCTTACCTTTCAACGAGAAAGTAGCCTCCTTGTCATTATCTGGAGCTTCACTCGAGTAATATATTTGAAAAATAACAGAATTCAAAAACAGTAATTAGAACAGATTTCTTTCGTACTCGAAGAAATAGCGTTTGATTTGAAAACTTTCTGAAGATGACGAAGACAATCACTTTTGTGAGCTGCGCGTATGCAAATGGAGACGAAGAAAATTGTCAGTTCTGCTACATTTTTCGAATACTGAATTTCCTTTACGAATGCTTTTACTATCATTTTGTACTTGAGAGCATCTTTCTCAAAATGCCTTGAACGCTCCAGTGTAAGAAGAAGAAACTATGTCTGTGACATCTTTGTCACTTAATAGATGAAACAATTGATTTGTCATTGGAATTAAATATAATGAACACGACCTCTTATATTGGCTTTTTAGTAAAATCTCTTGCTTCATATTTTAGTAGCTTCTTCTTGTAAGAGACTTTCTTGTGGAATGTGTGATAGCACATAAAAAATGAGCTTAGTATGAGAAAAGATCTGTTGCTAGTATATAATAGACGCCATGTATGTTTTCGTCGCTGCTATTCGGCTCATTATTGAAGTAGCTTCAAGAAATAAAAAATAAAACCTGTTTCCTCCCATCGATACACGTTTCTGTTAAAAAAAAAAAAAAGAAAATCATCGTATTGGAGCGTAAGCAAGCATAAATAATTTCGACTCGGAACAGAAGAGATTCGCTTCTGAAACTTCAAACAATAGAAATATTGTCGAACGAACGTTTGATTTTTCAATAGATAGAAAGACAACGAGCGTCGAGATTATTTATTGAATTTTGAACTGCGAACATTTGTGAAGAATTGAGGAAATGCGCAAAGTGATCGAACACTGAGAAAAAGCGAATGCTTATACGAAATTTATGTAACGTAGAGATTCGAAGGATTCGAAGGAAATCTTGCAAAGAGAGCGCTTCCTTTTTTGTAAATCTCTTCAACAAAGAATTGAACTGAGAAGCTTATATAAAACTCGATAACAATCAGTCGATAATAATAACAATCTTACTATCGTTCGCTGATTAGATTCTTTTGTGTAATTTCCGCTTGTCAGTCACGTTGTTATCATTAATGTGCGTTGTTAATTATTGCGTGCAAATCGTAAACCGTAAATCGAGGGAAAAGAAACTGATTTGACACGTTCACCCTCGAACTAGACGTCTCGTTTCCTTCTTAAATGTTAAGTTCTTCCTTTTCAATTCAGCGGAAAAAAGAAACAGTACGAAACAAAACAGTATTATACGTTGTGATCCCTCTGAAGTCTGCCCAGCCAGTAATCTCCGCTGATGAGACGATGTATCCCTTTCGTATTAGCGCTAAGTTTTAAGTTCGGCACGACGATAGAAACGTTGCAACTGGACTGCGGATTTGTTCACGCAAATATCATTTAAAAAAAAAAAAAAAGAAAATAGAACTTGAATGGAAAATTACGTTACGTATCAAGTTACGTGTCGCACACTATTGTGTCGAAAATTTCCCACATGAATACACAAAAATCCGCCGTCCAGTTACAACGAGGTATTTTGTTGCAATTAATTTCATACGTTTCATTGAAATTAATCACGACGATGCAGAAAAACCGAGAGCGTATAGTTGTATTTATCAATTGTACAGTGCTTTAAAGTTTCACCTACAACCATGTATTCGCTGTACAGCAATAGATTTGCTATTGATTTCAAGCGTGATTTAGACCGTGCATCTGCAGACGTAGATCTCAATAGCTGTAAATTAAACGTAATTATTTAAATGTATAGATCAGACGTTTTGTTCTCCGCGAAAGGAACAAACGTTCCGTAGAATTATCTTAAATATCTTCGTTTCGTGTAGGTTACTTATCTCTTTTTTTTATATTTTCATTTGTGATTATATTTTGTTTATTTTTTTTTTTTTTTTTTTTTTGACATCCTCAAAGAAATATACAAGTAACGATTTAATTAATTGTATGCGTATGTCTATTAATTAATGAAAGAATGCTATACTACGCGCGTGTATTGGAAGTAATCGGTGAATAGTTCCTTTCATGTGTAACAAATCATACATTTGATAGACGATACTTCTTTTACCGAATTATGTTTGCACAACGTGAAACATCGAAGCGTGATTTGACCTTTGAAATATTCCGATTTCTTTCTTGCATGATTCTACGCTGGATTGAAAATGCAACGCAAATAAATGTCTTCAAGAGTAACAGGATTATAAAAAAAAAAAATTCATAATTGAATTAAATCATGTGACTTCGCAAGAAGATCTCTCCTCTCTTATTTCATTTTAGTCGTCGCATTTTTACTTTGAAATGTTTTAAAAGGATACGATATTTAACGCTTACGATGTTTACATTAATGTTAGACGATAAATGTAATTAAACTCTATCATTATTTATATATATGTATGTATATTGTATTATACAACTTGTTAAGAAAGTGTGTAACATAGATTTTATTTATTTGAAAGACACGTACAATATTTATTACTTTAACATACGTGTTTATTTATTTTCTTCGTTTTAGCTTTTCATTTTTACGGCTTTGTTGCATAATGCGTAATTGAAATGAAATCAAGTTAGTTCAAAACGAAATTTCGATGTGTACTCTGATTGTACCTCTCTTTCACTTAATGAGACGTAATAAAAAATGTAATAAAAATACAACAAACGGTTGTACTATTTTTTAAAAAGATTTATTTCATTCCTTATTATTATCGACGTTTCGTACAATGCTTAATATTCTCATTAAAATTATAACATGTACCCCATTCACTCACGTGAACGAGGATAGTATCTTTTTTCTCTGGAAATATATCTGTCATAATGTCTCAAATTGTACAGTGTTGTCGTTGAAAATATTAATGTACAATGCTTCTTTATAAACATTTTTAACAAAATTCCAGCAAAACAATTAAAAGAAAGCCACATATCCTCCATTTCATATTTACGTTCAGCTCGCAAATTATCGAGCCGTTTTAATTCTGTGTATAAATAATTAATATCCTACGGAACTACGTACTCAACAAGCAAGAATAGATCAAATAATTGATAAATGTGGCTAGCATTCCGGATAATAAAGAACAGAACGAAAGTAAAACAAGAATTATTGAAGGTAACTTAGAATGATAATAATTCCAAGAAATAAAATATAGTCTATAATTCACTTGCGATCACATTTTACGAAGATCAAGGACAAATACACTGCCATCGGATGCAGAAGCACCAACTTTATCTCCTCGACTGTTCCAACAAACTTCGAAAATTCCACCAGTACCTTGGTAACTGTGCACCAATTGACCGTTCTGCACGAGTAAATATAAAAGAAAGCACAAGTATAGTATAAAGTTCGTTTAAACACAGAGAACGTGGTAGAGGAATACCTATCTTACCTGAGTAGACCAAATATGAACACATTTGTCGAAACTTCCACTAGCAAGGAATTTACCATCCGGACTAAATGCTACGCTATACACTGGTTCCGTATGTTTCGTAAGTCTGTGTATACATGCACCTCTTTCCACATCCCATAACCTTACAGTCGAATCAAATGATGCACTAGCTAAAGTTAAATTCATATTTGGATTGTGGGTACCAGGTCCAGTCGGAGACCATTTAATAGTATAGATTTCTTTGCTATGAGCTTGTAGATCGTGTACCCATGTGTCTTGTTTCATTGACCAAATTTTAAGGCTCATGTCATCTGAACAACTGGCCAATAAGTTGCCTTGAGGATCCCATTTTATAGCATTAACTTCATTCTATAATTAAAACAAGAAGCAAAACTGTCAGATTTGAAAACAAGAAACAAAACTGCGTTAGATATTTCATGTACAATCTTCATTTCACGAGTACACATACCGTATGACCTTGGAAGCTCTTGATTGGTTTATCAACATTAAGTTTGCATACATGAATGCATTGGTCAGTAGAACAACTAGCAAATGATGTATTTGTTTGCCAATCAACATCCAATGCAGGTGCACAATGAAAACTAAATTGTTGAGTACATTGTCCACTTTCTGCGTCCCATATGATGGTGGTTTTGTCAACCCCGGCACTTAATATATAGTTACCACGTTTGTTCCACTTTAATGCAAAAATTGGACCTTTGTGCTGACCTAATGTGGATGCTAATTTACCGTCTGTCTTCCAAATTCGTGCATAACCATCGTAACTTCCTGTCGCTAATAAGGTACCATCGCACTAAAATACATAAGCAAATTATATTAGTTTTCTTTTTTTTTATATTCTAATCTAAAAAATATATATATAATATATATGTATAATCAGTTTACCTTCCAATCCAACGAAGTAACATCTTTGTTGCTTGGCACCTCTGTACCACCTTTTTGTATGCAATGACGGAGGACAAGCTGATTCGGAGCTTGAGAACTACCGGACATATCCCAAATACGAGCTGTGCTATCTCCTGAACCAGAAGCCAAAAGATCAGTTGTTGGATTCCATGCACATATGAAAACTTCCGATTCATGACCACGTAATATTGTAGCTTTAGTGTCTGGAATTTCAACAGCGCTAGCATTAGTTCCCCTGCCTGAACCTTGTTGTTGTTCATCTACTTCCATTTCTGTCCTATCTCCTCCTCTCTCATTTGTGCCTACACCTTCATTGGAGGTAACAACTGAAAACAGGTTAGTAAATTAATAACAATTACCAAATGAAATACTTTCTCTCCCTTTTGCAATTATATATGTAATCTGAAATAAAGAAATTCTATTCTTCAAAAGATCATGTATTATCATTAAATAACAGCGTCTTTTAGTATCTATGTATTATATTATCTCATACCTATATAAAAATTAATCTTTTTTTATAACTATGATTTATACAACATAACTTTATGTGGTATTACAATATATTAATCTATACATGGTGAACTTGCGAAATTCTTGTTTTCATTCTTTATTCCAGATTATACATATATTAATAATATTGTTTGCTCCTAGTTTTCGGACAGGTTATAAATTTAAAAATGAGCTACATTTTGCTATAATAGTGTACAACTTAACATTAAAGCAATTTTTTTAACTTAATAATGACACACACACAAAAAAAGAAATATTTTACTAGAACTGTTATAACAAAAATATTAGCCCCTAACAAGCCCGACAACTAAAGCAGTCCATTGCTGTACCTGGTTTGATAAGGAGATCTACGAAACTGAAATATTTTCATAGACCAGGGTGTACCAGGAAAACAAAATGACACTCAGTGTTTAAAATATAACGCATAGAACTTAATTAATAAAGACTGATATACCAGATGAAATTACCTTCTTCCCCATTTGTATCTTGTACTTCTGTTTTCACCTGTTGCTTTTGTTGGTTAATTTGATTTTGCCTTGACGCCACAACGTCCGGCATAACGGCGTCGATAAGAGACAAGGATTCCACCATTCTCTGTTCAGTTCCATCTTCACCTATTGATATCTCTGCCTCTGTGTACTGCAGCCCTTTCTGTAGAATCGACAAAAGCGCTGCTGGCGGTACTAACGCTCCATTAATATTACTCTGCGATATATGCGATTCTATACCAAATGTGTACGCAGAATGCTGAAATCCTACAAAAGAAATCACACAGTGATTAATTTGCAACGTTTACAAGGTTTGTGGTATAACTTTCATACAACAAATTCGAGAAATATATTCGCCAACCTAGCAACCTAGTGTCAGGGAGTACGCTTCTATTTGTCCTCGAATAACCTCTTCGAGTCACGTTTAACTTACATGTTGTAACAAGTTACTGGCCAACAAGACGTTATTAACAGCGAATGTTGTTGCGGACGATATATACATGTTCATGTACATACATTGCATAAGTAACAGGTGTATACAAACAACGGGAAACGAAAGTTCGCCGAGAAGTTATTTGAAAAAAGAGGTTACGAAGCGATGCTCTCGAGGAAAGAAACATACCAGATTCTTGAAGGTACCGGTAAACCAAAAAGTTGACTTCATCACTCGAGAAGCTCATCGTTCTTTGCTTTCGCGGTACTAGCACGACATATTTATCGAGAAGTTGCGGCTGAAACTCAGTTTGATTCGCTGCGGACGCCGAGATTGCCGCGTTGAGGCCACTTTACAAGGAACACAGGCACAATACGCACGGAACGTCGCCATTGGTCAGGGAATACGAGCGGCAACGCGTTCCGAAAGGATACATTACTAACTTCAATCGAGTGGCCACGTCCTTCTTCAAACCGCCCGGGAAAAAAGGGACAGGCAATTAAATTTTATTCATACGTTTCGAACGCAGCATTGTGTAAACAACGTGACTGTATCTGTGCAGCCTATCGTTTGTGTATGATATTTGGTTGAGAGGAATTGGTCTACGATTAAAAATAACCTGTCAGTGGTTGCGGTAAAAACGTACATTATTTCAATAATGAATACCATGTACAGAAACTTATCGATACCTATACGATATTTGGTACTTACGAGAAATCCGCTATTTCAAAAAGGTTTGTACCGCATTGTCAATAGAGTTGGATTCGTTTTTTCGATGTTTGGTTAAATTTGGTTAAGCATGTTCTTAATTTTAGGTTATTTTTGTTTACTAATGAAGTTGTTCTTACAGTTGATGTGGCCATTTATTCTGATTTTATAATATTCAGAGTGAAATTTAGTATATTTCAGATTTTATTTTTGGTATATTTCAGAATTGGTATTTTCAAAGTGAAACGTAGTAAATGAAATTTGTCCTTGTCGCACGCTTTTGCTCTCCTTGTCTATCGCACAGATATGTCTGTCCTTGTCGCACGCTAGTGTCCTCCTTGTCTAATAACGCTAGACAAGGAAAGCTGTAGTGTGCGACAAGGACATCCTTCGATCTATTGGAAAACAAATTCAACTTCTTACATACACGGTTTTCTAGGAAAAAACACACATAGAAAAAACGCGAAGAGCCTAATTTTAAGGAGGTATATAAAAAAGTTTGCAAATTATTCCTTAGAATTAGGTTTTTTTCGTAATTGGTGTGAACTGCCACAAAATGGATATGGTGGTGCCATCTAGCGGTAACTAACTTTTCAGTGTTTGCAAGTAACGGTGGCGCCATCTATTGCTAACTTAGTGGTACTAAAAACAGAATTTTCTACTTTTAGTACCGCCGAGTTACCAACATTGACAGGTGACAGTTTTTCTACAAATTACGAGAAGGAAGTAATTAAGAGGAATCATTTGTGAACTGTTATAGTTGCGTCTTCGATTTTAGAGACCCTAAGCTTACGTTTTATGTTTTGTTTAAGTATAATTTACGTATGTAAAGAATGTTTCAATTTCGTTTACATTAGTAGTAGTATCAGTAGTGAGTGCATAATTTCGCGCAAACTGTAGTGAATATTAGATTCAGATTTATTTGCGAACGTAACTGATAGCATTATCATTGAAATATATGCTCGTGGAGTGCAAATTTGTGGCGTGAAACATTAAAATTAATTATTCCCCTTATATGGTTAGAGTATTTAGTTCCACCGGTCTGCCACAACGCGGCGCTAGTGTTTCTCACCCAAACAGAGAAATTTTCATTTGCGAAAAAACCTAATTTAGCGAAATGAATTGTGAACTTTGATGATTGTATTACCCTAATTAGACCCTTAGCTTTCTTTTCATACCACATTTGACCCGTGAAATGCAGAAATAAGTATTTTTAGAAATAATTAGTACCACTGAGTTACCGCTAGATGGTACCATGTCCATTTTGTGACAGTTCACACTTATTACGAGAAAAACCCAATTAAGAGGAATAATTTGCAAACTTTTTTATATGCCTCCTTAAAATTAGGCTCCCCGCTTTCTTTCTATGTGTGTTTTGTCCTAGAAAAACGTGTGTGTAAAAAGTTGAATTTTTTTTCCAATAGATCGAAGGATGTCTTTGTCGCACACTATTGCTTTCCTTGTCTATCGTCATTAGACAAGGAGGGCTACAGCGTGCGACAAGGACCGACATATATACACGGTAGACAAAGAGGGCACTAGCGTGCGACAAGGACAGATATATACGCGGGTAGACAAGGAGAGCAACAGCGTGCAACAAGGACAGACATACACGCGCGGTAGACAAAGAGTGCAACAACATGCGATAAGGACAACAATATAAATTAATTCCGGCACCTATCCTAGGAGTGATCCACACGGTGCATATTTTTTCTTACGTGTATTTAGAAAAGTACGTAGTTTTCCATAATTCGGATAAGAATATTTTTAAATCCGTAATCTTCAACAGATAAACACAAATATTTCATCATAATAAATTATCACAATAATTATGATCTGTGATTACAACATTCAGCCCACTTTGCAGAGTAATGACTTTTTAAGTACTATAATAATGAGGGTAATGTAACCTAATTCGAACGTTAGTTTAAACAAGTTAATATATATATATTTAGGTATTTGTTCTCCTATTGCGCACTATTGCAGTCATTTTCTTATACTTTTTAAAAGAATTCGTACTTCAGCAAAACTGAATGTTTTAAATTAAATTATTTTGAACAAATTTTTGAATTTATATTTGAATTAATATCTTTGATTTCTTGAATTAATATTTAATATCAATATATATATTAATTATATATAGTATAATGTTGATAATAAATATTAATATATAATATTTGAATTAACGTTTAACATGAATATTAATATAACCTCCGGGGATAATATTCGCCAGAGAAACACATTTTGCTTAAAATAAATATTTAATAACTAACTGAATTTATATTTAAAAATTTAAATTAATATCTAAAATTTTCAATTTGACATCTACCTCGTAACTATGGTCGAATATTGATATTTAAATATTCGAATTAATATTTAAAATCTTTGACTCGACATCTATCTCGTAACCGTAAAAAACCGCTTAATTAGCTTTTAATTAATTGAACATTCCTTACATTCTTTCAAAAGTCCAAAATATTTCGTAAAACGCGCGAGGTGTAAGAACTATCTAATTGACCAGTGATAAATATTAATACCAAATGCGAAAGACCCGCGCCAAATAGTTCAGAAGAACTGCGCACGTCTTTCGTACATTTTTCGTACATGCGTAAAAAATCTATAAACGCACGTCCCCGTAGAAGCCACGTGTAACCGCGAAAAGCGTACTTATCAAATCTACTCTGCCGAACAAGCTGATTGGTTCGTTCAAGGTCGCGAAATCTGATCGTCCATGCTTCAAAGGAGCAGACAGCAGTGCCGCTTCGGTTCCCTCGGCGTGTAGTTGTGCGATTTTGCAGGAAAACGCGGCAACCAGCCCGCGTTCCTCTTTTTTTTTTTTTCGGTTGTCCAAGGTCGCTGCTGCCGCATTTCTCTTCTCTTAACGTCTGTTCTTAAGGCTCCTTGATTCGGAGAATGACCGTGGAGATCGATAAGGAGGAATTGAAAAAGCGCTTGACACCGCTGCAGTGGCACGTCACGCAGGAAAAGGGCACGGAGAGGTACGTTGTGTCAGGTATCTGATTTGCTCATGGTGGTATTACAAGTTAAATCGTGTCATTCTTGCCTACTTTGCCCGTGTTGTTCCCCGATACCACTGGAAAATTGATCATGGTTGCAATAAACTTTCGTGCCAAATACGTCACTTATCGCTACGTGACACGAATCTACATACATATGTAAACAATGAGTCTCACGAAATTCGGATTTTGTAACAAAAATTTGAATAACAACCTCATTCGACTGTGCAGTACGCGAATCATTAACACTATGTGTTAATGTTACTTGCCTTTACTTGTAGCTAACGTTATAATCAATTTGTTGCTCGATTTATTGCTTTTGTCTTTCACGATTAATTTTGAACTAACTCGGATTCAAAGTAAATTGCAATGTTGAAACGATACGATTTTTTTCGAAAATATTGCCCGCATGGTGGAAACTGGTTTACTTTTAGGCGACGCGGGACTAAAATAACTTTTTCAAGACCATGTGTTGGCGTGACTTTGCGTCATGACCGAGTGGTTTAAAAATAAAATATAGGACCTAATTAACTTCCTAGTATGTACATTCCTCTGACTGTCCTTTCTTTCCTCAGGCCTTTCTCCGGCTGCTACAACAAATACTATGAGAAAGGCACATACACTTGCATAATTTGTGATCAAGAATTGTTCTCTTCTGACACAAAGTACGACAGTGGTTGTGGCTGGCCTGCATTCAATGAAGTATTAGATCAGGGACGAGTCAAGTTGACCAAAGACACTTCACATGGTAAGCAGATATGAAAGTTTTAGGTTTACCAACAACTTCTTTTTTTTAGAATTATGCTCGGATTCTTAGTATACGATAACACAGCATATCATGCATATCATGTTACATTAATTACAAATAATCGCTTAAGTGGTACACGGATGAATCTTTGTTACTGAGTTTGATTTACACATGACAATATAATCTTATCATATCATAGACTTTAGAGTTTGACCTGTTTACCATTCTGAAACATTCTCCATTTTGTTTCTCACATTTACTCTATCACATGACCTTTCCTTTTAGTTCTGCTACTTTTTCCTAAGCCTTCCACAATTTGTTTTTCATTTCATTGAATCGTCATAACGTTTTACATGTAGTAAAGACATATATGATTGAAGTATTATACTATCAGTTTGTAAAGTTATATCGACATAATATATTTTAATGATATGCTTTGTGCATGATAATTTTGTCGTTACAATGAAATTTTTGCCACAGACATGTACATGTTTTTTAATCTATAAGAATAAAATGATTTGCACATATATAGTTATATTATAACTGTATAATTTCTTTGTATTTTAAAATTATAATATATGGAAGGCAATATTCCTTGTATCCTTTACCTTGCATGTTAATGCTTAGAGTGTGATTTGTGTTAGACTTATATCACCTGTTGTATAAATTAAGATCATAATTATGTATTAAAAGTAAGTTTTTCTATATCTTGTCTTTATGTATGAAAAAGAAGAAAATAATATTTTTTGGCATTTAATCTATTAATTTTTTTACATGTAGCTTTGCTTTTATAATATTAGTACTTCAATAAACTTTAACAAAATCATAAAGCTTAAATTACATTTTATGTAATACTTGAAAAATTCTTTTTTTACTAAATAGGTGCTTATTTAAAAGTTAAATAAAAATTTATATGTTCAAGTTTCTATTGGAAAAGAGTATATGTTTTATAATTTCTTTATATTAATCGCTAAGTATGTTAGTTTATATGTTTGTTGATATTAGTCATATTAAATCTTATTTATACATATATATATATATATATATGGGTAAACTGAAATGTATTGTGTGGAATTTAAGTAGGTAGTGACTGCAATATTTGACTAGTTATTTAAATGGTACTTTATGTACTACTTACAAATAACAATATTTTAGTAAAAGTAAACTTGATAACATGTATGTTTTGAATATTTATATTATATTAATTAAATGAAATTGCTTTTTTCTTAATAGTCCATAAAAATATCTAACTAAAGAGGCAAACTTGTTTGGAACTACTTTAATATATTTTTTAATTCTGTCATACAATATCAAGACAGTTAGATATCAAAGCGGAATTTGGACAGAGCTTCGATGGATGAATAAAGCAAGGAACAAGATTATATGGGTATTGATTAGAATGCGTAGCTATTTCTTATTTTACATACTATTTGAAGAATGTAATTGATATAGCATTTCTTTATTATTTTTACTTAGGTTTCTATTTTCTTTGAAACTTATTCAGGTTACTGATTTTAATTTTCATTGCAATCAACCTCTTGCTTTTATTAATATTAGTTTACTCTTTTTGGTGCTGCTATAACTGGAAAACATTTAGAGTGCACAAACAAAGGTGTAGGTCTGCGTTTAATCACACTCTATTATTCTATTTCCTTTGTCTTCCTATTGCTCCGCTACCACCACTTCACTCTCACCATTGACACACGAAAACTGCGTCGACAATTGACGTACAGTTGGTGGAAATCTACTACTGCTGATCGCAAACCCAGATATGGTGCGGACCGAGGTGACCTGTTCAAAGTGTGGTGCACATTTGGGACATGTATTTAACGATGGGCCAAAACCTACAAGGAAGCGATTTTGCATCAACTCTGCATCCATAAACTTCCATCCAGCAGGAGAAGAGAAGAAAACGACATCATAAAATTAGAACATAAATTTTTAATGAAATTTTTGAAAATGTTTAAAATATCTGACTTATCACATTGATGAAAAAAAAAAGTTTATATTTCTTAATAGACATGACTCTGATATTTTGTAATTTGCTACTATTTTGTTACTCTCTAGAATTGTGAAGTTTCTTTAGCAATGAAAACAAACATATTACCAATGACAAATATTTTCATCTTGACATACATATTCAATAATTATTATGAATATGTATCGTGCATCATAAACTCTAAGTTCAATTCCATTCGTTAAAAAACATAAATTATATTATACAAATGTATATTTATAGCGATATTGATTGCAATATTATAATTTTAGCATAAATTCTGTACATACACTCTAAATGACTGTAAAATAATACATTTAGTGTGTATAAAGTATAAAAATTTAATGTAAAACACTTAAAAACTAATTTATAAAAACATTCTGTTATTTTTTCATGTTACACATAATGAACAGAACGTGTAAATAATACGTATTATTTATTTGTCTCAATATATTAATTATATGAAAAGTTTATTACTTTGTAATCATTTCTTAAAACAAATTATGTTTTAGTTTGATATTTCATTGTATTTATAAAAGAATATTTTGTCATTTAATCCTTTGCGTCGTAACGTGCAAGGTATGGATATTTCACTGGTTGTGATTCTTTTATAAAACAAACGAGGCGCCTGTAAATAAATTATCACCGCAAAGAGTTAATGTTACAATAAATAAAAGGAAGGATTTTATTCAAAGGAAAAGCATAGTTTGTTATAAAATGTTTCCTTATATTTTAACGTTTCAAAACAAACTAAAAGATGTTACAGTACAATATATACGCAAATTCTAGGCATAATTTTTACAATAATTCATTATCCATTTGCTGCTTTCTTTCATTTTTAAATTCGACACTGTTAAGTATTAGTTTTCCTGAGAAACCAGATTTTTACCGAATGTTTCCGTTTGATGATAAATGCCAATTTCGTACAAATAGAGGTACAGTTAAAATGGAAATTTTCATTAAAAATCCGAAGCCAAAATCTTTACTGACATGTATAAATAAATTAACGGCTTCGTCAGTAGGCCTAATTTGTTTTATAAGTTGAGATCTCAAAGCATTTTCAAAAACATCATAAAAAAAAAGAATGGAAAACATGCGTATACATACTTAACATGATTTGTATATAGGAACCTATTTCATAGTTCTAAACTGACAATAATACACTTCTTACGAAGATACATAAATGCACTTGGAACAGTAATCGAAATAACGATGCAAAAACATTTACACTTGTCCACATTTTTATTAACTGCTATATAAGATTTTATCATTATTTTATCAATATTAAAATAATAACGATTGTTTCAATTTTGCAAATGGAACTTATTTTTATTACAGTAAGGCATATTAATACAACTTTTGTACTTTTGTTTATTCGATAAATAAACAACAAGGTTTCATTTTCAAAACATCAATATATTTCTAATTATTATTTGCGTGTGTGCAAAATATGGACAAGTAAATTTTGCATCGAACTTGTCTCGATTTACGAATAAAAATAAATCTTATAGATAGCTGCTTGTAGCTGAAATATGCTTAATAATTGCCGCAGTAATACAATGACATAAAATGGACGTTACTTTTTCTTTCTAAAGATATTTGTGAAAATGCAGGACCTCGTTCAGTATTTCTGATCGAGTTAATATCAATTTTGACCCTGAATCTCATATTTTTTTTCTTTTTCTTTTTTTACATAAAACATATGTTCGTTAATACTAGACGTGCACAATTATTTTGTTTTCTATACCTCCTATAATTGCTTACAATTCCTAAATAATTTGAAGTTGATGCTGAAACAAAATAGTGCAAGAGCTCGTCCTTATAGAATACTGAAACTTCATGCGATCATATATGATTATATAATATTATATGATCATATATTATAATCCCTGATTCTTCACAGGTAAGTAGATTCATCTTTCAGCATACAACTTCAAATTTAGGAGTAAGCGCAATACAAACTGAGCTGCTTCGTCTGTCAAGTATAATTAGACATTATTGATTATTATAAAAAAAACTAATCAGGCTTTTACGAAAATAATCAAATCAGTAAATAATGAATACATTGTTACATATACGATTGTTCATTACCAAATAACATATGCATTTTCATTTTTTTTTTTTTGTTTTTTGTTTCATATGTAATATATCGTTAATTTCTTCAATATCTATTACACTTTTACGTGGCGTTCTTTAGCTTTTGTTTACGATAAACTCCTATATATAATGAAGATGCAAAAAATAAAAGTAACAAATTTGAAAATGTGTATTCCTTAAACTAAAAGTATCCAAGGTTTCATTTTTCAGTAATATATGTTTAAGATATAATACAATTAGGAAAGACATTAATTATTACGTTTAATGTAGTACAACCATTTAGAAACCTTGTCGTATATAATCGTCAACATAAATTTATATATTTTTATCGATCTGTATGTCGTCATTTGCATTAAACAAAATAAGAAATTATTCTGTTGATGGTTCAAGATTATAAGGAATCTAGCGCGAGTTTTTCACGTCTCTAAACATGACAAGACAGGCACTTTATAGTGTCACAAAATGTTCCTATATCTGAACCTTGTTTTAAAATTTCGTCGATCATCCGTTCACTTCTTGTAAGACACGTTAAAGATAATTTATGTTTGACCTGTATTGAAGAACACACGTAACTAGACATTCGTCCATAGAAAGATGTTCTTACATCTATATTTTAGTAACAAGGTCAATATCCCAACGTGTCTTGTTAGCGATGCAAATGAGAAAAAGTACTTATATTTTATCTTACAATTATAAATGAATAATAGCATTAAATAAGGATCGCATGTATTAAATTTATGGTAAATTTCATTATATATGAAATTAATTTTCTATACTATATACACATCAACATAATGCAAAAACTGCAATGTCCAAATATATATATATAAAAAAAAAAGTCTATTAAAACTTCAATTTAATATAACATAATGAAGTTTGCTAATATCCAATGACAAGAACGTGATTCTTGAGAACGTTTAAAACAAGTTAGGCTATCGCTTATACATCTACGTCATACTGACAGACCAAAGATTGAAAACATATTGCTCTGTTCTCCATAACTTCGTTCAAAAAATATAAGTCTAACACGAAGACCAATTTTCTTCTTCTATGATTTCTTGTTAAACAATAATAATATATTAGAATAGGTCCTATGTACTTGTTCACATTTGTTTATGGTATTATCTAATAAGGTTCTTGCTATAAATAATGTATGTTTGTAGCTAACTCTGATCTTCAATTTTAGAGTCAGTAATACTAGTTTTTATATCTTTAGAAAATAACTGACAGTCGCTTGAAAATCCTCGATGATAGTTCAATATTAGTACAAGAGTTCATCAGGCAACAACCCACACATACAGTTTATCTTTTATTTTGAAGACTATTTCAATAAAATGTCGAACTCTTAGCAACTAATAAATACCCATCGAGGAATACAAGATTTCTGCCGTCAGATCGTTCACAGTTCTTCTGATTTAACTTTATTTCCTCGCAACATGCGAGAATCGAGCAATTTAAAAACTTTGAAACCATTTCTCGATACTTTTCAGTATCGGATAAGTTCTATCTATCTATGACCTATATATATATTTATTTATATATTTATATATTTATATATGTTTATTCATTATTTATTATATATTATTGAATTATTGTGCCGTTCCATTTTGGGAGGGTGATTCATTATTTTTCTTGCAAAATTATATTTTTATGATCACGTCGTATGATCATAAATACCACTCTTTTAATTACCTTTGGCAGCTTCCTTCGCTGCCATTATTAAAGGTGTTAAAGAAGCAAGTGGCCTTGCTAATTTCAGAAAAGGATGCTGTAATTTTTCATAAAAAAACAAATTTTAAAAATTCATTCAACTTACGAAAACTTCAATGCATCAACCAGTTATTAATTTTATAGTTATATAAATGTATCGTTAGAATTACCTTGAGTAATTCTGAAGCTGCTGATCGTTTCTCCACTTCAACCTCTAAACACTGATCCAAAAAATCTTGGAAAATTCCGGACAATTTATCCTTTTCTTTAATTTCAGGTTTTCCATTTGTTGCAATCAAATATAATGCTCTTAATGGATTTTCGTTTAAATATGGCGGTTCTCCTTCTATCATTTCAATAGCCATTATACCCAACGACCAGATATCAACCTACAAGATTTAAATGATTTTGCATATATTGCAAGATAGATATTAGTAATTACAATATAGATATTATTTTACTTACCTTTGGACCATATTGTTTTCTTGTAACTACTTCTGGCGCCATCCAATATGGTGTACCAACCATTGTAGTTCGCTTGCTTTGTTCTGGCGAAATTTGTGCACAAAATCCAAAATCTGTTAGTTTCACTCCACCATCTAGCCCGAGCAGGATATTATCAGATTTAATATCCCTGTGTATAACTTGATTACAATGAAGGAACTCCAAAGCTTGTAGGACCTCTCTACACACTGCTGCTATTTGACCCTCATCCATACAAGTCTCAGTTACAACATCTGTCAAACTACCACCAGGCAAATATTCCATAACTACCCACAATTCTTCTCCTACGAGGTAACTATCCAAATAATTTACAACATTTGGATGCTTATTCTCCCGCATAACCAATATTTCGTTTATTATTAACTCCTTCTTTGGTTGTTGTGAAAGATTCATCTGTTTTATTGCAACTTCCATACCTGTTGATGTTTCAATTGCTGTGTACACTGTTCCCGAAGCACTGGAAAGATATTAAAAAAAAAAAAAAACATATTAAAAAAAAAATTCCTCAAAAGAATATTTACACTTTGTATTACTGCAACTTACCCTTGTCCTATTTTTTCCATTTTCGTGTATTTCCTATTTGGATCACCCACACTTACAATTGTTCTTAATTTTTCTAATATTTCGTCATCTGACATTTTTTTCTTTCTAGCTTTGTCAGTTTGTGCTGGTCTCGTTTGATCTGTTGTCGTTGATGTAGGAGTCGCTTGATTTTTATTTCTATCCAATTGAGATTGGTGTGACTGCTGCGGCGTTCCATTTCGTTGAGGTGATCCTAACGTAGTAGTTAATGGAGGCGGTGGTTCTTCTTCTATTGGTTTTGTATACTGTTGCAAAAGATTTAGTATTTATATTCAAATATAAGGGAAAAAAAATTAATTTTTAACAATAATCATTATTACTTACAATTGATTTCGTACGTTCTGGTCTAGCAGAAATAGGTGGTGGCGGCGGTTCATCTTCTTGTTCAGAACTAGTCGCGCAAGCGTCTGTTGGGGTACTACTCGGACTACTACTACTCACTCTATAATTTGAATGCCATAAAACACATATAAAATAATATATAATAAATATAAAAATAGGTTGGGTGGAAAAGAAAGAAAGAAAAAGGAATAATAGGAAGAGATTCGGAAACATGTTTTCAAAATAGTAACTGATACAGGATATGATATTTACAAAACATAGAAGTTCACCTGCTGAGTGAATGTTGAGAATGAGAACTTCCAGAAGCTTGTGACATTGCTTGACCACGAATGTTTCCTACTCCAGTTCCGACACCTATGCCCATGCTTCTAGGACTACTTGCTCTCTCAATAGGTGCTAAACATAAAATTTTCTGTGTTTTATTTGTTAATAAATATATAATTGATATAATAATAATATGTAGATTAATATATGTGTAGATTAATATTTATGTAAATATTGTTAACTTACCAACTACCCCAACCATTTTTGTAGTTGTCATATATTTGGAACCTTTCGTTTCTTTACTGCTACTATCATACCAATTCAAAACATCTAATACAGCCTGTGGATTTTTCTTCTGTTCTTGTTTACTAATATTACTAGACATAAGCAACCTTGCCCATGCTTCTGGCATCCCCTAAGATCGAAAATTATGTTTCAATTATAGTCATTAATAATCTTATACATATTTTTAAAGAAGTAACTGATACAGGATATAACATTTACAAGAGTGTAATTCTCAAAGTTCTAAAAACTAAGAGAACATCGTGCAAATATAAAATATTTGAGACTCCAATTATTACATGGAAGAAATATTAAGATTTTAAGCACTCAAACCAATATTAAATTTCATTCTGCAAGAAAGCAATAATATTGAATGCAACGTTGACTAAAGCATCTATTGGTCTACCAAAGCAGCTATGCTTCTAATCTATAGTTAATTCTAAATTTCAAATAAAAAATAACAACTTAATCCTGTTAATTGCAACAAAAACAAACAGTTAAATTAAGTGTATGTATCATAAAAAGGAGTATAAATAAACTACTTTTTGTGGTCATTTAAAATTACTTACTTTCAATGGCAGCTTGAAAGAAATACGTGTCTAGTTAGTTTTTCATGTGAAAAAATAATAGGTATAAGAAGCATCAGACAAATTACCAAATTACTTTTCCACAATGTCCATACACATGTGAACAAGTGATGAAAATTTAATTCATTTTTAGGTACGAAAAATCCATCTGAGATATATATTTTAATATATTTAATGTTAATATTTAATAATACATTACTAGTTGCTCTTGTGATGAAATACATTTCACAAATGAATTATTTTGCTAAAAATGCATTCATTTTTATATAGTATTCGAAATTTTAATTTATTCAAATATAATAAAAATTTTTATCATGAAACAGATCAAATTTTTATTCAACTTGAATAAAAATACTATAATTTGTTTTATTTTTGTATATTTTTCTTTTCATTTATCACGCAACGTACTAATCAATAAGCCGATGAATTGCAAAGCGAATGCTGAATATTAATAAATATCAATTTAATAATGTTTCAACACTAAAAACAACAAACAACTGAAGATATTTTATATTTGAAAATTATCTTTTTTCTTTTTCAGGAAGGATTAAAACATAATTATATAACCAGTAATGTAATGAAATAAAGAAATACTTATTACTATGCAATGTTTATTTGGATACTCCGTACCATTGTATAGTAGCAAAGCAGAAAGCGAGTGCATTTTGAACAATAGTAATGAGTTACAAATATTAAATTAACTTACCGTAAATTCTCCAGTAACAGCATCAAATCCAACATGTACGGTATGTTCAAAGTTGGTGGGATAACTGATGTTGGGTTTGTCCTTATTTTCTTTTACCTTCATTTTGCTTTTCAATGTTTTTTTCTTACGTTCATCAGAATCAGGTTCTTTAGGTAGTGGACGCATATCCACCGGTAAATTAGGTGTTGATTCACCTCTGAAACATGTTCAATTTATCATTATCTAAATAATGGTATCAAATGGAATAAAATAATCTATAAATTTAGTTTTATATTGGCTACTTTAAATACATTTCATTACTTATAATATTAAGCTGTTACTTATAAAAAATGTAAAACTAAAACTATTTTTATTTTTCTACTTTTGTGTATCTACATAAAATATTATTATTGCCAATTATAAATTATTTACAATATTCATATAAAAATATATGCATATTCATAAGGTTTGTTAGCAAGGCTATGTATAAAGACTTAAAAGGATGGTCTTCCACATCAGAATGTCATCGTGTCTGAACTGTAGGATTTTATTTTTAGCAACCACTAGATTAGTGTCTGTTATTCTATTTTTGGGAGATGCAGACTTCTACTTATTGCAAAGAAAATAATAAGAATGCAAAGTGTAACAAACTCATCAATTTTTAGTGTCACACAGCAACATAATGCTACAAAAAGTACTCAATACTACATTTATCACTACATTTATCAAATACTGCAGAATCTAACATCAGGGTAAGTATACATCAAAATTTTCAATGTTAAACGATACATTCTTCTTTTGAGAAGTTTTTCATTCTTAAATTACAATACAACGTGGTGTATGAAGTTACCTATTCGACGTAAGTCGCACAGGAGGTGCAGGAGGTTTGTCCTCTTCATCTGACATGTTGTTTCTACTTTTGTTCCTTTGTTGCCAATCTACCTTACGTTGCTGCGTTTCCACAGTTACGTTCGAGGTTTCTGTTCAATGCTACCAGCTCCTGGGTCCTGAGAGCACCCAGTTGTTCTTGCGACTTCCAATGGATCAAGAGCTTGGATCACAGTGCACAGAGGGTTCGTTACGTCGACGAGAACACCAGCTCTGTCTGTTGAAAACATAAGACACGAGGATCCATTCACTCGCCCGTTACTCGAGAAGGAAACTTTGTCCTCTTGAATTCGACGAACGTTATCGAATCGACGACGTTTGGAACACCGGCTCCGTATCACGGGTACGGACGTACACGTACGTGCACGGACTCCTAGATGAGCCGGTGAGAGGACGTGAAACAAAACGACGGGCAAAAGAAAAAAAAACGATGCCCCTCCTCGTGGGTGACAGTTTCGAAAAGGTGTTTGCTCGAGGTGTTGCTCGATGTCCGCGGGGAACAGCAGCGTCCTCGAACGGGTCAATGTCGTGAATATGGGGTGTGCTCGAAGACGAGGGACAGACAGGCACCTCCAAAGCGTGATTCACGCACGGATGCAGACACCGCGCCGCATCCACGGATCTCACTAATTCTCTCTCTTTCTCTCTTTCTCTCTCTCCCTCACTCCCTCTATCACTCTCTCTTACTCTTTCTTCCGTTCTCCCTCTATCTGTCTGGATCTCCTTTCGTGTCGCGATCGCTCCTTCGTTCCCAGAGCGGTTTTCACTCCTCCCTGTTTTCACCGTCAGTCTCTTACGCTCGCGAAAGAAGGGAAAAAGAAAAATACGATTGTGTATATCGTGTGGCTCTATGTATATATATGGCGCCGCTTTATCCACACGTCCGTGATGTGCCGCGTTTCGGGCACGGCGGAGGCGGAACCACGCGGCGCTCCAAATCTTATCAATGGTACCTCATTTCGCGCGTACCGATCCGACGCCCGATGTCGGCCCAAGTCCCTCTTCCTGCTCCCGTGCACGGCGTTTTCGACGTTGATAAGAAAGTCTGTGAATCACCGCCGCCGCCGCGGTTCTCCTGCCACTGTACAGCGCCTCCACCGGAACACCGTTCACTCCCTCTCTCCTCGCATCTCGCTCTTTTCCTTTCCCTTTCCTTCCCTCTTTTCCACTTTTTCCATTTGCCTCGTTCTCTTTCCTTCCCACCATACACTTGCAAGGTTTGATCATTAGTACGTGAACATATATATATATATATATATTCGTCTCTTGCCTATACCTACTGTCGGTTAACACGAGTGAACGTGAATTGTGTGCCTGTGTGTGCGTGTGCACGCACGCGTCTTTATATATCTGTGCATAGTACGTGTGTGTACGATTTAAAAAGAAATTTAGAATAATATAGGTTGGAGCTAGGTGGTAAGACTGCGAGTGAATCAATTCCAGGTTAGCCAACATGAAAACGGATACTGTTGTAAACTTCATTACGGTTTCACTCCTCGCGAATTAAAGCTTTCGGTTGACTGTTACGTTTTGTCGAAGATAAGTTAAAAATTTGTATATTTAGGGAGAAGGAAAGATAGTGAGAAAGAGAGCGAGAGAGAAAGAGAGAAAATATGTGCTTGAATATTTTAAAAATTCCACATGCGTGTAAATTGTAATTGTTTAGTAATTTTAACTGTTTGCTAGTTTCATGCAGGTATCTATTGATATTTTTAATCATATTTACATATATAGCGAATTAAATGCATTTCGACGAATTAATTTTATAATTTACATGAAATTGTTCAATCTTCTTTCCTTCAACTTTGAAATTTTTATTGAAAAATTATGTTTTAATTATACTACATTTGTCAGAGTAATATATTTTTGGAATTTAGAAAGTGATTGTAATATGTTATATTTAAGCACAAGTTTGTACATGTTTCAAATTCTACAAAACATTTTTGTAAGAAAATGATATATCTATCATATATTTTTGTATGTCATTTTTGTAATATATCATGCCAGTTTGAAAATCCAAATTCTTTAAGAACTATTATTTATTTTTACGTTTATCCCTGCTCTTTGTGATACTTTGAGTATATAATAGTATATTCCAATCTTACATACTTTAATTGTTGAATATATTTATATTTATGCTATATGAAATATTCTTAGCATGAGTGTAAGTTTCCTACATGATTGAATTTGTGTTTTAATGTAAAGGGATTAGTATAAGAGAAACTAAATATAAGAAACATACTATGATTAATTGGTTAATATAAGAAAATTTCTATAAATTATTTTTTTTTATTGAAATTATATTAAGGAAAATGATAGCTTTAAAAGTGTTTAATATTAAGTTATCTATATTTATATTTATTGTAAGAAAATTCGAATGCAAGTTTAAAACTTTAAGTTTATCATTTATTTATAACATGTATGTTATATTGATTCAACACAATGTATGTAGTTGATTTTAATAAACTACATAATTTTATACACTTTACTATGTTATATCATTTTATAATTTTAGTAAATTATATGTACTATAGTAAAGTACATGTTATACATTCATTATTCAAAATGTTTGGAATAATATATTTTGGTATTTATTAGAAGAATATACATATTTGTAATTATGTGTAATTATGTACAAAAATAAAGATATTAATAATATTTGAATTTAATGTTAAGGAGTAGGATATATTTTACCACTTTACAACTAAATTTAGTCATATTAAAATGTATTAAAATTGTAAGTATATTTCTACATATTTCGTACAGGTACATATTTAAAAAATTTTGTACATAAATTTCGAATATATATACAAATATTTAAGGTAGAAAATAATATTTTTAAAAAATATTTAAAATACATTTTACGAAAATGAATCATTATTAATTTTCTATATACAAAATCTTATTTTATATATATGTACAAAAAAATTTTTAAATTCGGAAAAAGAAATAAAATTTAATAAAATTTGTGAAATGTTATATAATTAGAAATATTACTTATTGTTAGTAATATTGAAAATATTTACACTGGCGATAAGCGCTTTACGGTTCATTAATAGTTGGTACAATTGACACATCTCTATAGTATCTTATCTTTCAATGATACTTGAATGATGACAACATATGTGAAGTTAGCTGCCAGACCGTGTTAATTACATAGCACAAAAAAAAAAATAATAGGGAATAATCGTAATTTTCATACCATAAGATTGTTTACTATCAAGGAAATCATTACTTTGAACAGCTCGTGTCCTCTATGTTGTGCAATATCTGTAAATTAATTTGTAAACTGACACGAGAAATAGTGTGTTTTTATTACAAGTCGTAAAGTTACACTATGTGATTCATCCAACAGTGTAAAATAACCTCGATATGAAATTTGACATTTGACCATATATTTAACGTACGTGGGCGATATATTTATATTACAAATGTAGCAGAAGTTGTTTAATTGTATGATTATATTATACTGTTCAATAATTTGTTACAGGGAACAACAATTAACCAACTGTTTCTTACAAAAAAAAAAAAAAAGGGAGGAAAATAATCTAAATCAGTTTTAATTAATTCTTAGATTTAACATTATCAATTCAAGATGAAGAAAAAGGTATTTAAATTTTGTATTCATGTCTACATTAATTTACATAGTTTGCTAATGAATGTTTGTATAATTTTCATACATGATAAATGTTTCCTGTTTTTTAGGTTCTTCTAATGGGTAAAAGTGGTTCAGGAAAGACCAGCATGCGCAGCATCATTTTTGCTAATTATATTGCCCGTGATACACGTCGTCTGGGAGCAACAAGTGTGTAATATTTGGTTTATATCATTTCATTAAATATTACTTTTTGCATTACTTATTAATTTATTAATATGTTTAATAGTTGATGTGGAACACAGTCATGTCCGATTTCTTGGCAATTTGGTATTAAATCTGTGGGATTGCGGTGGTCAAGAAGCATTTATGGAAAATTACTTTGCATCACAACGTGACAACATATTTAGGAATGTAGAGGTTCTGATCTATGTTTTTGATGTAGAATCCAGAGAATTAGATAAAGATATGCATTATTATCAAAGTTGTTTAGAGGCAATACTGCAAAATAGTCCGGAAGCAAAAATATTCTGCTTAGTACATAAGATGGATCTAGTACAAGAGGATCAGCGAGATTTGATATTTAGGGAAAGAGAAGAAGATCTGAAAAGACTTAGCTTGCCACTTGAGTGTACTTGTTTTAGAACTAGTATATGGGATGAAACATTATATAGGTATATTTTTATAACTACACAGATTTATATTCTATAATTGCATACAAACCATTATACTTAGGGCGTGGTCTTCAATTGTTTATATGTTAATTCCAAATGTGAAAGAACTTGAACAAAGTTTGAAACAGTTTACCAATATCATTGATGCTGATGAAGTACTCTTATTTGAAAGAGCAACGTTTTTAGTGATTAGTTATTGTCAAAGACAACATCACAGAGATATACATCGATTTGAGAAAGTTTCTAATATAATTAAACAGTTCAAATTAAGCTGCAGGTAAACTATGAAAAGTAGATAAATATTATAAAGTTTGAATGTATATCTTTTATAAATTATATATTTTCAGCAAATTGGCAGCACAATTTCAGAGTATGGAAGTTAGAAATACGAATTTTGCAGCTTTTATCGATGTATTTACATCAAATACATATGTAATGGTTATCATGTCGGATCCTGCTATCCGTAAGTATTTGGAATCTTAATTCTTTTTTTTTTAATAAATACTGAAATATCTATTTAAATTGTTCCAGCATCAGCAGCAACATTGATCAACATTCGTAATGCGCGAAAACATTTTGAAAAACTAGAGCGTGCTAGTCAAAGTTCAGCGTTAAGTAGATAGAAATCAGCTCGACCCAGGCGCGTCGTCACCCGGGTCCAGGCTGTTAATCACTATTAAATCTAAGAGTCACTTTAAAACAGAATCATCATAATGAAGGTGCATAAAAACTTTCCTTTTTTATTAATTAAAATAAATCAATAATTTTGCCAATGAATAAATAATTTTAACATATATAATGTGTAATAAAATCATTATTAATAGTAGTGTAATTTTCAAAGAACCAGTTTGTTTATCAGCAAAAAGTTTAAATTAATCGTAATTTGTTTTATACAAAATTTGAAAGAATACTAAATTTGCTGAGCATGTATGTGTTAATAAATGAATATAATAAATAAATACCTGTTAGTACGAAATTGTGCGCTATTAATATCATATTAAGCGAACATATTTTGTTGTTCGCTTACAGTAAAAACTCTCTTGGCTCTTAGATAATACATGGTTTTCTGGGTTAAGATTTTCCCTGGCTCCATGATATTGTGTATTTTATTTCTGTATAGCAATCATTCTCTCTCTGGCCTGTTATAAAGATATATATTTTTTTAAATTACATTTACTTAATATAATAATGTACATATACTTATTATACTAATCATGCTGCTGCAACAATGAAACTAACTGTAATTGTATCTTTCAATTTAGATAACGATAGTGTTAAATTGTACGTTATATTTTGTATAAAATTTTGATTGGTACCTTTTCACATACACATGCGAAAGAAGACAACAGATACTGAACTTGTATAAGTTTACTTACAGCTGTATTTACGAAGAAATAAAAAAAACATGGAATGCTGTAAAGGCTCGTGCTTTTGTATGTGTCACTAAACTGTGTTTTTCTAATTGTACGAATAGATCTATCGAATTAAATGTGATTTCAATATTTTATTTAAGCAAAGAATAGAATGTTTGTCACATACATTTAAAATTGCCGCCTTTTGAATAGTAATGGCGAAATCGCGTGTTGTTACCATTTTAGAGTGATAAAACGTCTACGTAAAAGTGTAAATAGTGTTTACTATGGACAGGATAATTAAAGGAATTATGAAATATAGAAATTGCCACAGGGAAGAAATGGTGAAACAGTTTAAAAAAGTTCGAGATCATCCCGAAGTATGTTAAAATTTTTCTCTTTAATTCACTGCTAATAATGTATGAATATATTTATTTCTTTGTGATGTTTCATGTTTTATAGCATATTAATATTTAAATTACAAAAAACGATATTAATCATTGTTGATATTTATAATGAAAGATATAGAGAATATAATCATATATATATAGACACACACACACACACACACACACATATATATATTTTTCTACTATTCATAAAAGTTTTTTTTCATGTCCTTGAACTAAAGAATCATTCATAAGAATGTATATACACATGTATATACATGTGGACAAAATCTTATCTCTGCGAGCACGTGTCGTGAATTACTTTAATGATGCGATCCACAAAAATTAATTCAATAATAGTTTAAAATGCTCGTCAAGTAAGATTACTAAATCAAATATTAAAAATCTGCCTTGTTATTGTTAATATGCTTTGTTGTTGTGTGAAATATTTATTACATTTATTTCTTTTTCAAGTTATTATCATGCATGGAACTTATATGTACACACATGTGCATATATGCGTTATTTAATCTACAAACAAATTAGGTATTCATACAATTCGTCATAAAAAATACAAATGTTATACTATAATATTTGTATAAGTTACATTACTAATTTAAGGTGCAATATTAACACTTATTACCGTATAATTGATCTTTGTTGTTACTCCACTCACAGCCAAAGGCAGTGTTTTTTACCTGCATGGATTCACGGATGATCCCAACTAGATTTACGGAAACAAATGTTGGAGACATGTTTGTCGGTACGAGACTTCGCCATAACATTATATCCTTGAATATGCAACTTGATTCTTCTTTATTATGAATAACTTCACATAACAGTTTAATACAATCAAACAATATATTTGTAATGTTTGTAATGTTCTAATGTAGAATTAAATATTTTTCTTTTGAATGTGTTATTCACTAAATGTTCAATATAAGAATGATTATTAGACTGCAGATTTTTATGCAAATTCATTTTTTTTTTATATAATTATAAAAATTGATCTTGAGCAGGAATTTATTTTACTAAATATAAATAATAGTGTTCTAATTAATATTTTTTAATTTTTATAATAATATTTTAATTTATTGTAGATATTTTTTATATTATTATATATTATACATTACATTTACATTTTTATGTGTTATGTGCATTCTATCTATTGTTGAATTTTTTAATTTTGAACAAATGCATAAAAATTCGCACTTCAATGGTCATAATCGAAGTTGATTCTAATCTTTTAAACAATATCAATTTTGTCACAAATTTTGTGTTTTTTTAGTAAGAAATGCTGGCAACCTTATTCCTCATTCTCAGCATTTTGTGGACGAATTAACAATGTGCGAACCGGCGGCTTTGGAACTTGGTTGTGTGATAAACGACATAAGGCACATTATAGTTTGCGGCCATAGCGACTGCAAAGCCATGAATTTACTATATGCTTTGCGTGACGAGGAATTCGCATCGAAAGTACGCACTTCATCAGTTTTACTATTTTTATGCCTATTTCGCTAATTTATAATAATTTTTATCTCCTAGGCCAACAGGAGAATATCACCGTTAAGAGCATGGTTGTGTGCACATGCTAGTAATAGTTTAGCGAAATTTCAACAATTGGAGATTGCCGGCTTTCGTGAACCAATACTTTTTCAAGCTGAAACGCCTTTACGAAAGTTTGTGGCCTATATTGATCCTGAAAATAAATTTGCTATAGAGGATAAATTATCTCAAGTTGGTATAAATAATCAAATTTTAATCAGTTATAATGGCCTGTAATGATATGCTATTTTACTTTTGTAATAATTTCTTTGTTCTTTTTTATTATAATATCTATCTTTGAAAATTTTTTTATCTTTATTTTTATATATGTAGTATTTTCATATATGTACTATTTAATCTTAGATTTTATTAATAATTTTATATTTAAAGTTATAAACTTTAGTAATAGAGGATATGATAACTTTTATAATTATTTTAATTTTGAGTTGTATGTTATACCTAGTACTATAGTTAGTAAATTACATTTTAAATTACAATTAAAATTATAGTAGTAACAAAGTACATAATTATGTAATTTTAATTTTAGCTATTTCAGTTCTCCATTTTAATAATATTAACTGTACACTTAAAATCATAAATTTTAATAGGAAAGGTTACAATAATTTATAACTTTAAATTGAAGTATGTTTTAAATAAATACATGTATTTTAATTTCAGATAAATACCCTGCAGCAACTACAAAACATAGCTTCTTACGGATTTTTAAAAAAACGGCTCGAGAGGCACGATTTGCATATTCACGCGTTATGGTTTGATATTTATACCGGCGATATTTATTACTTTAGTAGGGCGAATAAAAGATTCATAGAGATAAACGAATCGACCGAGGCGTCTTTACTCGCAGAAATTAAGAAATATTATTCTTAAATTGCCTAGTCTTAAAAGATCTTTTATGTAGATAGGAAATGATTGGTTGAGACTGAATAACCTGATAAATCGTTGAATCTTTCAAGAACGTTCAAACGTAGAATGCGAGTTGGATACTCATTCAATTGAAGACCATGTAATGTACCTGAATGTGAAAGTAGTGAATTCTCTATCCTCGTTTTTATTAAGATTCATATTACAAACTTGTTTGCACAAAATAGACCGCTCTGACAATATTAGAGGAATTTATAAGAATATTTAATATAGATATATTTCTAATAATATGCAATATAAAGACATGTTATTAATGTACAGGGGGATCTTTTACATAGCATGTGTTCGTTAATATGTAAGGCGCAGAGAAATTATTTATTAAGATTCATATTACAAACTTGTTTGCACAAAACAGACCGCTATGACAATATTAGAGGAATTTATAATAAGAATATTTAATATAGATTTATTTCTAATAATATGTAATATAAAGACATGTTATTAATGTACAGGGGGATCTTTTACATAGCATGTGTTCGTTAATACGTAAGGTGCAGAGAAATTATTTATTTATGGATGATATATATATTCTATATATTCTATAAAAATGTGTAGAATGACAAACGGAATTTTATTTTTGGTACTGCATATATAAAAAGGTGTAATATTTTATGTATTGTTATATGACGCATACAAAGTTTATTTGTAGGATATTTGTAACAATTTATATAATTGATAAATATTTCTATAATTTATATAACTATACCACATATATCCACTGTGATAAATATATACAGAAAATATATTTATTGTTTTTGGAATCACTCGTTTGATTCATTTAACTATCCACTCGGCTTCCCGCCGATTCTGTTCAATATACTTTGCGCCTGAATCGCGTAAAATTGGAGCCGAGGAATAAGACGTTGGAGGACGTACCGTACTGACGGATGGATGGTTTCGTGGCCAGGCGAACTAGAGCATGCCACTCCCGAAAGAGAAAGCAAAACAACGAACCAAGGTGTAGAATTAGGATGATGATAAATACGGTATCAGAAGTTTAAGTCAATTTATTGACGCAATGTAAATATAATAGATATTCACACCTACCGCAAAATATTTTAAAATCATTGAAATCATTGAGTCACACATCTTATTCAGTATTTCTTGCAATTTAGTTTTAAGCTGCGTTAAAATGGTTTTACTATTTTGTTGATTTTAAAATTAATAATTTGATTATACTATTTCTATTAATTTCAATTGATTGGTTGTTATATTATATATTAATATTTAGTTGCTGCACTAAATGTTATTGTTAATTAATCAAAATAAAAAAAAAATTAATTATTAGACATTAGTTAGTTATTAAGTAGTATATTAAATACTATAAACATTATTCTAAACTATACTAAATTTCTAGTATTTAAAAATTATTTTACCAAGGCTAATAAAATCAGGAAGCTGATTTTAGAATCATCTGTTAACTTAACTAATAGTTTACTTAACTAAAAAAATAATTCATGCTCCTTTTGATCTATCTTTTATTAGATCGAAGCCCATAAAAATCTACTTGGTGCAGCTCTTATAATCATTTGTTACCTAAAAAAATCTCGCTGAATCATTATTTATAAAAACCTGTCTTACAGCGCACATCAATAATTACTTTTGTAAAATCTCTTTACGTAAAACATGAACCATTCAAAAATTTATATTTAGCAACAAGGATCATTATACTGTAGCGATAAGCATCAGAGAACCCCGATGCAAATCAACAATTTCACCCGTTAATTCCATAACCCGACGCGCATAAAAATGCCATAAATCGTCGGAGGAAGTAAGCGTATATCTTGCCTGAATCAGGTTTGAGCGCATTTCATTTGAAACAATTTTTGTTTTGTAATAAAAAGAATAATAACAGTTATGTTAAATGAAATATATATAAATAAGATAATATATTATTCGTCACTTTTGAAATACATTATTTGAAAGTCCAAGCTTGTTACTAATTTATTATTGTCTAATGTTTTACAAATTAGACTGAGTAATTTTAATAAATGAAAAATGAGTAATAAAAATATTTAAAAACATACGCAGAAATTATTTTCTGCACAGTGTCGCGTTGATCAATTTAAAGTGATTATTTATTTCAAATAATTAATATTTATTTCCGGAAGATACAAGTGTTGTGCAACTGTCTCATCGGAAAAGGCAGAAACATCATGACAATTCGTAGATTTTTCAATCTATTGCCACCGGACAATGGACGATAGAAAGTAAGTTTACATATCCACTACTCTAACATTGTTTCAAAATTTTATTAATTTTTCAATGTTGCAGGTCATCTCTATGTTGGACACATGCTACATGCAGTAAAAAAAAAAATACTAATCTCTTGCAAAAAATTAAAAATTTGATCACGAAGAAGAAGAAGAAGTTCTACACGTTATATCCCCCATATTCTGGAACCGTTCAAACATTTCTCATGTTATCAAAAAAAAAAAAAAAAAAAAAAAAGGTGTTCGATCCTAGGTGAGCCACTCTTTTCTTTTGTATTCTTTTACGAGCAACTGTGTGCATCTATCACAGTTTACACGCTGCTACATTTTCAGTAGCTCATTGGACGCGAAGAATTGGTTCGCGCGTTTCAGCGGCGTGTTTCCTGGTGAAAAGTGAAGAGGATTCGCTGCTGCGTCTAGGCGAATCGGCGAGTTGGGCCGGTTAGGCCGGTCTGCGGAGTGTGACGAGCCCCGGGCTCGGCATGGTTTGCCAGCTACCGGAAGGTGGGAGATCAAAGAGAATCTCCCCGGAGACGATACGCGTGTCCCTCTTCATCCTCTTCTTGCGCCTCTTTTTCCTCTCCGGGACGGTCTTGCACCCCGCGAGTCGCGTTGGCACACTGGCCTGAATCGTTCTGGGGTATCTATCACGGTGGAAGTAAGCGTAAATATAACACACGCCGCATGTTAAAAAGTAAAATCATGTCATCTTTTATCCTCCCAATGGGATTCAGAGCGAGACATTTTTACGAAGCGGGGCATTTTGGTGCGCTCGATCAGATCCCGAGACGAGGATTGCTTTTGGCGAGGTGCGCACGGTTTAGGTTTTATGAATGAACACAAAGGAATTAATGGCACGAAAATCACACGTCCTCCGTAATTATATTTGGGACTATGTCTCTTGATTTTAATTGAACGTCAAGTAGCTAGTTTAATGAAATATGTACAAGAGCATGAAAATAGTCGATTGTTCGTATCTGGGGGGGGGGGGGGATAATTAAAAATTTTGTGCATTTGAAAAGAAAAAACGATCGTTGATCTCTCAAGGGATACGAATCGAAAAGATTACTTATTTATAAATAATTAATATTTCGTTTGACTTCCTTCGGTACTTTCTCTCGACTAGCAGCAGTTCCCTTGCGAAACGATTCTTCGATAAATTCGTTTCGTACTATTTTATTACTCTGTTTTTAGTGTTCCGCGCGATTTATTTACTTTATTCATTTGACGAATAATATTTACGTAATGTACATTCTATAACGTTCAGTGTGTTGTTCAATTTAATTTTAAATCCGCATTGATCAAACTATTTATATCTAAAAGATTTTGTAGATGTAACTATCAGAAATGAATTAAAAATTAACACTAAAGTGAAATATTTTCTCAAAGTGTGATTAGCATTAGTGTAAGTAGGATTTTTATTATTTACTATCTAGTATTTATTATTTAAGTAATTATTGTAATTTTAATGATTAACATTATTTATCTATTAATGTTTTTGTTACGCTATTTATTTTAGTTTTGGTACATAAACAAAAAAATATTCATCTAGATTCACTCTAACTTATAGCCAATTTGACGTGTTCACTATTATTTTGTACAATTTTCTGGTATCCTTTCATCTTTCTAATTTCAATTTTGTGAAACAATTTTACACAGTTGTACTAATTTCAAAGTTTAACAACCTACTACACTATTTAAGGATAAAAGAAGTAAATGATCAATGATGATGTTTTATTTTCTAATTAGATCAAAATAAATAAATTTTCAACTGACAGAGGCATTTTCTACATAGAAGAAGCAAATATTGAAGTCAAAGAGATACAGCGTAGATGCTTTTTATAATCATCATAAGTAGAACGAGTTATATACTTGTTTCATTTTGATATTTATATATCATTCAGATTCATATAATACAATACATATATGATGCGATGAAAAATGTAAAACATAATTGACAGAATATTTTATTAGAAAATGGAGACGTGGATTTATATTGTTTATAATCAACAGTATTAGATAGAATAATTAATTTATTTCAGTTATATATAACAATTTAATGTTATACCTACTGTAGTTATTATAATATACATTATAATATAATATAATGTTATACTGTTAAAACTTCCAGATGGTTAAAAATATCTTTGCAACTAGTTGAAATAATAAAATATATTATAATAATAAAAATATTATATAATAATTATAGTATAAATAACTATTTCTATTATTACTATAATTATAGCAATAATTTATTATTATTATAATTATAGCAATAATAATTATAGTAATAATTTATTATAGTAATAATAAAAATATAGTTATTTATACTATTATTATATAATTACATAATATTTTTATTATTATAATATATTTTATTATTTCAATTAGTTGCAAAGATATTTAATCATCTGGAAGTTTTGACAAGAAATAATAACAAAAATATTATATAATATTATAATAATAAAAATATTATATAATATTATAATAAAAATATCATATAATATTATAATAATAAAAATATATAATAATTATAGTATAAATAAATATATTTTTATTATTGCTATAATTATAGTAATCATAAATTATTATTACTATAATTACAGTAATAAAAATATAGTTATTTATACTATAATTATTATATAATATTTTTATTATTATTTCTTGTCAAAACTTCCAGAAGAACTTAAAAATATCTTTGCAACTAGTTGTAATAATAAAAATATTATATAATAATTGTAATTTTATATTATATAATATATTCTACATTTTAAAAGTACTTCATACGTGAAAACAGTACTTTATATATGAATTCTAAAAGAATTTATACAATATCGTCGCTTTTCTCACGTTTATAATCCAACAAGCTCAATCAGTGTGTTATCCTTCTTCGTTCATAAATCTGTCTAGAGTTACCAAACGTTTCTCTCCTCCCTTCGTTTCCGACGCAATTGTCGTGCCCACTTCTCAAACAATTCTATTCAGCGGCGAACATCAGGCAAGGTGCATTTTAAAGCGTGTACACCGCCGTTTAAAAGCTTCCGCAAAGAGTGTCACCTCTTAAATTAGACTCGGTTACGAAATTCAGGTGCACGGCCTGTTTC